GAGGGCAAAATGAAACAAGCTGCCCAAAGGGAGAGAACTGTGCACTTGGGGAGGGAGAGCTGGTCCCCAAAAGTTGGCACTTTCTATTACATTTCCCAAAAGCCTCCTGTTGCCTGAAACTTTATATCCATGTGTTTAAGACTCCATCTCACTGCAGTGACAGAGGGTGGTGGCTCAGACCTTGGAGTCCAAGAGACTCATGGGAATTCCCATGCCTACATGTCTGGCCACAGAGCTTCCTCAGCCTAGTCTCACCAGACAGTTGCAGATTCATGAATGAACTGTTCCATTTACTATGTGAAATGTAAACAGTCAACCCTGTACTTACATATGCTGCATATGTATGTATTCAGCCATAAACCGAACATCTTATTAGAAATTTGTGGGCAGGAGCTGGGGAGATAGCTCATTTCATAAAGTGCTTGCTGCATAAACAATAGGACCTGAGTCTGACCCCATACCAGACCACAGACAGTAACCTGAGGATAATGCTTCCCCTGGTGCTTGAGCAATGCCCACCTGGCAACCCTGGTCCTTTGGAGACTCTGAAGGACTGCAGTTGTGCAAAGTGGACTGCATGCCTTCCCAGTCTACCTATCAGAGCACACACAAATTGCAAACCAACTCAATGTTTTCATATTTCATGTGGGCACTTCCAGACCTAAAATCAAATGGGCAACACACTTGAGCAACACAACTTCTTGGGAAGAAGAGTCACAGATTACCATCGATTGAGTGACAGCAAAGGGACACTTCTCCACCATTTCTCCTCCTGCTAGCACTTCACCCAGTGGGGTGTGTGCTGTATTCCCAACTATGTTTGGAAAGCTCATAAATAAATCCATTCCCATATTTAGGATGAGAAGAAAAAAAAAGCCCACTCCATGCCAGTAACTGGCTGGAGCCTGGTGTTTGGTTGGCACTGAAGTCAGAGTTAGCAGTTTGTATGCTTTGAAGTGAGAGGGCTTTCCCTTCTTTTATTAGCAATGAAATGAACTTTAAAGGGAAAAAACGTTGGTGAGGAGTATTTTTCCATGGCAAGCCACGTAATGTCTTTGGTACAATTCCCTATTTAGAAAGCTGAGTCCCAAGGTAGACTTGGGACTACCTGGGATACCTCACACAACTCTGCCCTTGAAAATTTGGTCAAGTGTGGGTATGTTCGGTGGACTGACATCTTCTATACATGTGGCAGGGGCAAAAATGGGTTATTTTAGAGCAGTGATTTCCAAACTGGGCCTCTACCTTCCCCCCACCGTGTGTGTGTATGTGTGTGTGTGTGTGTGTGTGTGTGTGTGTGTGTGTGTGTGATAATTACATGCACATATTGTTTTGAGGGACTGTCATTTTAATAGGCAAGCAAATAGTCAACAGCCCCTACTGGGAAAAAGTCACTTAGAATCTTTAAAATTCATTGGCCAAAAGAATTGGGGTTGTAAATTGTGCAGAATATATCTGTGCAGAAAGATTCAGAACCCATTTGTCCTTCCAGGAAAGGAGAAAGTATGTGTTCTTGCCCCCGCCTAGGCCATTTCCATGGGCTGGAGAGATGGCTCAGCCCTTAAGGGCTAGGATCACAACCCCAGACTATTTCAAGAGTGACTAGGCTGGATGACCTTATTCTGACTTTGTTGATTAGGAAGTCACCTCAGGTCAAGAGATGTACTGAGGAAGAGGTAGCTCTGACTGGGGCAGGGTGTCCATCTCCTGACTTGGGAGCAAAGGTGAAGTTTGGGGCTTCCCTTCACACAGCCCTGAAGTCAGAAAGCCTGGGAACTGTCTGAAGAAAACGCAAGCACATCATGGCCTTGGCTTTAGATCCAGTTTTCCTGGAAGCCCCACACCCAAAGGGGACTTTGGGAAATGAGGTAAACTAAGCTGTATTCTACTTTAGAGAATTTAAGCCGTGATGGAGAAATTTCTATTGAATAGTTATGGTACCCTGGGAAAACCGTCCTCATCGATTCTCCATAGCCGGTGGCCATGCTATTCACCAGGATGGACAGACACAAGTCAAATTGTTAATTTACTATAAATCTAAGTGCGCTCCTAGAAAAATGAAGAAAGGGGTGTCCCTTAAAATACTCAAAATGCTGTGTCTTTAGAAGAGCCCACGGGTAGCTTCCTTGATTTCGAAAATGTTCACTGGGACTTCCTGGGTGATGGCTGGGCCTTTCCATACCACAGCACAAGGTGCCGTAGGGAAGATGAAGCTCTGACAGGGAGAAAGAACTCTTCTATTCTATAGCCCTTCCTTCCCTTTGCCCGCAAGGGAAGACCTGCCTTCAACCCTGTGAGAAAAACTCCAAATAGGATGGATTAGACAAAGAAATATTTAATCACATTGGTGGGGAAAACCTCAGCCGAAACAATGCATCCTTTCAATGGCTGAAGATTTTATGAATAGACAGAATGCTTGCTGCTATATCTGTCCCTGGCTCTTTTGGGGAGAAATATCATTTGCCATTAGATACTAGTTCAGTTCCAGAGCTTCAAAGAATTATGTGCGTCTGCCAAAACCCCACTGTGGAGTCAACTACAAAGCACAGTTAATGAAAATCACTAGAAACATTCTTAAAATAGCAACTTCTAAGAAGCATCCTTTTCCTAGAATACTCCTTGTCTTAGGAGTGGACATGGCTTGGGCATTTGCAATAGTGCCTTTTGGGAACCCTTCCCCCTCTGACCACACCTAAACCCAGCTGCTGTCTCTTTTGATGACACAGTTCCTCTTGTGACTGGAGGCAGCCTTTCTGTAGCTTCATGTGGGATGTTAGACTAGTCCCGGGCTAGACATTTGTCTGTCCAGCACCATCACACAGTGTTTAATAGGCCCTTGCTACTTCTCAGAGAATCAACAGACTGCTGGGTCTAGTAGCAGATGAGATGCTGGTGTGGGCCACGGCATGAAAGCCACACATAGTACTCGTACACCCTTCCCGTTTGAATCTCACTCCAGAGGAAGACTAGAGATGCTAAATAAATCTTTGACGAAAACTCTATCAGTCCTCTGACTTGATGCCAAGCAGAAGCCTCAGTGTGACCTAGCTGTGTTGTTTCAAAACGACCCATTTGCTTCCTGTTGAAACTAACCAACAGAAAGGAAGAAAATGACACAGTTTAAGTTAAATATAAAGTTTTCACACAAAAAATGTTGTGTAATTTAACTGAACAGGTGCACTTCCTGGCCACTTTTTGGTGGAAATAGCTCACTGTCTGCAAGGATAGCCATGCATCACTTAATGAAGGGGACATCTGGGAAATGAATCCTAAGGTGACTTCTTCATTCCTCATGGAGAGTACTTACACACATCAAGATGGCGAAGATATCATGTCACTGTGTGTGCTTTCTTTTGCTGACTGAACTGTTGTCATCCAGCATAAGACACACATGACCTTTGCCCTTGCTCAGGGGAGCTGTGAGCACCCTAGTGGCTCCATGATGAACTCAGCCCCTTGGTAGTTTGAAAGTCAGCCACTTTGTGATAATGAAACTTGGCAAATGGCCCGATTCACCACTCTAGAACTGTAGTTACTAAAGCAAATGTACACAGAGCGGGGCTTGCTATAGCAATCAAGGAAAGGAAACATTTGCCAAGGAAGGGTTTTTGTCTGTCAGTCAGGCACCTACCAACCACATCCTGCCAGCAGCGGCGCTCTTCTATTTTAGACACTTGTACACTGTTTGATTCCTTTCCCTACAGACATCAATGGGGTGGGGGTGGGGGGCATGTAAGCCCACTCCTGCAGGATAGGGCCAGCATTCTGGGCACTTAGGGGTGTCAGCTAACTTATTTAACGGTAAAAGACAAATGATAATAGATTTGGGCTATCTCATGAACAAAAGTTCTTGGACATGTATCTAGACCCATGGGTTTGTATTAATTTTGCAGAATTGGTAGGCAGGACTGCCATGCCCTGATCTTTAGTTAATCTCTTCCTATTCCTGCTTCTGTTTCCAGTATTGTAAGCACCCTCAGGAGGCTAAACCAGAATGGACATCTACTCTGAGAACATATGCCCTGTAATGAGTGTCTAGTATTAGGGACAATGACAGCCTCACAGATAACTGAGACCTAGGGTTGTAATGTTGGTTTGCAACCAGAAAGATGCCAAAGCAGAGCTGGCATTTTGAAAGGAAACATGGAGCCTAGAGAATGGACCTAAAGTGGTAATACAATGGTGCTTCACTTTACAAAGAGGAATGAGCCTAGCTAGTGAGGCTCCTAGCAGCTCCTAAAGCCCAGGGCTTGGAGCATCCCCTTGTGGGGATGTACAAGGATTCTAACTGTGTAGCCCAGCATGGGTTTATAGTGTGGGCTCATACAGCATCACTTGGAACCCGAAGAAGTTGTGCTTTAGGCCATCCCCAACTCCTTTCTTTCTACACCTGATGTGATAGAGTTCTATGACCTAGTTGGTCATTGGTGGTGGCTCAATCTTAGACAAGTGGGCATAGGTAATGTAAAAAAAAATCAGAAACAATTCAAATAAGTGTAAGGTTTCTAATCTCAGCCTCTTTGGCTGGCCTGAAGAGATGAACAAAGAGAGATTCTGGTACACCAACCATCTTGTTACTGGTGTTCTTAGGTTGGTATTTTACAAGTGACCAGTTGCCAATTAAACAGTCAATTATATACTTAACATTGAACCTGTAATCCACACAAGCTTTGATCATGACTGCCTCAAAACCCCTCCCATTTTATATACAACTACAAACAGGGTTGTATACAAACCGCTCCTAACCAAGGAAATGTGGGTACCCCATGTAAGTCAGAAGACTTAGGGTGGAATTTCTCATGGTGTTTAAATGTCTCACACCACTTCTGTGGATGACACAACCTCTTTTAGCTGCTAGAATTCGTCCATCTACTGTTGAGTTTTGATGCAAGCAGATGACAACAGCCTTGACTGAACTTCACTGCCACAGACACAGAAAGCTGGTTCACCCACATGTGCACAAACATAATGGAGAGACACACATGATTCACAGTACTGACCTGCCCTTTCATGTCAGGAGCGATGGGGATGGTTGGCCAGATGGTTGAGTAGACACCAAAAAACACCAGCCAGGTCAGCATGCTTCCCCACACCGCCAGGTGACTGAACTGTGGAGGAAATGAACACTTAGACAGGCCTGGGGGTAAGGGAAGAGACTGAGGATGTACTAGTTACTGGAGAACTCTGCCTTTCTCAGTAAGTTCCTTGTCTTTGGGTTTGTAATGACGAATTCAAATTACTGCTGGTTTACACTATCCTGAAGATGAAGGTACCTTAAGGCCCCAACCTTCTTCTAAAATACACGCTCTAGCTATGACCCACCCTTCCCCGGGGTTATCTCAAGTGTCTGCTTTATAAAACAAAGGCACAGTCATCTAATGAGAGAGTGTGAGATGGACAAATGGACAGAATATTCCTATTACTCAAAGACAACATCTGTCCTATGTATTACAAAGATTATTTAAAAACTTGGAATGGTTAATACCTCTTCTAAAAACTTGAAACTTTGCATTTAATAGAGTTTTTAAAAATCCACGTGCAACTGTTCATATTCATAGGTACAGTGACACTCCAATGCGTATATATGATGTACAATGATCAGAGCAGGGTAACTGGCATATCCTCATCCACAACACATAATGTCTGGATGTGGAGAACATCCAAAATTCTTTCTTCCAGTTGTTTTGAAAGTGGATACTGAGTATAGTTACCCCACTTGCTTTACAGAACACTAAAGTGCCTCCTCCCACTCTGCTCTGCTCAGTACCCACTAGTTCTCCCTGTGTGTCTCCACTTCTTTGTCTTCTTTGGCTCTAGTAACAAATTCTATTCTTCATTCTATGAGATAAACCTTGGGCACCTTACGCCCCTTTAAGTTATTTGTCTCTCTCCTTTGTGCTCTTAATGCAATCCTTGTCTTCTCTCTTTAAAACCTACAATCCAGTCCCTCAGCAAGATCTGCCTTTTAGGTTCTATTTTTGAACACTCGACTACCTCTTCTTGCAATGTTCCAGGATAAGTCACTCTTCCCACCTCCCACCTGCCACCATCCTTTAACAGATTCCCTGGCTCCATGGTGACCTTCCAGTCTACCTATTTGCTTATTAGCAGAGCAGGAGGTAAGTGAGCCACAGTTAGACTGTGGCAGAAAGACACTGTGAGGTGTGGTTGCTACCCTATCTTGGAAATAACCAAATTGGATATAGGATGCTGATCAAAAAAAAAAAAAAAAAACAAAAAAACAAAAACAAAAAAACAAACCTGAGTTGGCTACTCAAATTGGAATTCTTTAATCATGAGCAAAAGGTCCATAGAAGTGTGCTTTAAGGATTCAAAAATGGGAGATTTTAGGAGAAAAAAAAAAGATGACAAAACTGTATGTGCCACGTGCCACGATGTCCTTTCACATGAGAACACAAAGGTCAGAAGATAAAAGATAGCACAGGAGTGCCGTAAGAAAGTTATGTGCAAATACTGCATCATTTTCTGATTTATCCTTCTGCATATTCTCTCTCTCTCTCTCTCTCTCTCTCTCTCTCTCTCTCTCTCTCTCTCCCTCTCCCTCTCCCTCTCCCTCTCCCCCCTCTCTCCCTCTCTTTATTCTTTTACCTTCCTCTCCCCCAGTTATAATGAGAATATTCACTTTAGGCAGATAGCAATCAGGAGCTGTAAGCTGTGCTAAGTGCTGAGCAAAGAGAGCACCAGGAGTGGTTGGATTCCAAATTCCAAATTGCCTTCATAAAGGTCAAAACAATTTTTACTTGCAATATTTGAAATAAGACAACTGTATAGTATTTATTGTTTCCCCAAGGATTAAATGGAAGTCATTGCATACAACTATCTATAATGGAGAAAGAAATAATTCCAAAGACAACTCACTTTAGTCCACGCTGTTGTCTCCAAACCAGCTTTCAGACAAACCGTAACCACAACGTACTGTGAAAAAAAGAGAGGAGTTTGAATGGTGCAAGAATTTCTTGATCAGTCTGAACCTCAAGGAATCCACAACACATAGAGACTTGGAGTAACTTGTTTTAATGTGGAGAGCCTCACATAACTGGGGAGGTATAACCCACATGTGTGCCCTTTAGGAATGGCTCAACATTGCTAAACTTACCGTGTAAACAATATTTCCAACAAACAAATAGTCTATGGCGTGACCATTGGCTAGCGGAGTATCTGGAGAACAAAGAAGCCACTGTTAGTGTCCAGAAGGCTACAGTGCAATCTGCTTTATTTATTATTTTTTCTAGATCATGGAAAATGGAGCAGTAGCAGCATGTCTCAAAGCATGTGGTCATTTCAAAACTGACTCCTCCGTGATTCTAAAGGCACTTTCTCATTATAATGGTATTGTTTTTCAACTTACATTGTCTTCAAATGAATAAAACGAAATCAGATTTTCAAACAAAACTAATGGTTGATTTGCATAGAATTTATATTTTTCTAAAATCAAATTATCTTTCATGCTGGCTTGAAAACAAGCAGAACAAGGACTGGTCTAAGAACACACCAAGTGCCTGAGCACTAGGGCCTTCTCAAAGCTTTCTCTTTTAATTTTTGTTAAAGTAGGACTGTCTAGCATCAAAATTAGTGCAAAGTGGCTGACTCCATTTGGGGAGATACTCATTGTTCTTGTTCTCACTGGTAACCACACAAGCTTCTGGGAGTGAAAGCAATCCAGTGAGAGGTGTCTCAGGCATTGCTAGGACTTTATTAAGTTTCATCTTCATGTTTCTTTCTTTCCAGGGGTGGCTCTGCACCGTCCCTGGTGGCTACAAAGGCAGAGAGACTCTGCTTGGTGACATCTGCCCTGTGGAAATCTGACTCTGATCCCCAGAGTGCAGAATAGTTTAAAGTCAGGAATGGCTTCCTGAGTGACACTCTCATCTCCTGCAAGGGGATGACGATGACAATACACAAGCTAGGTAGCTAGGCGTTCTCATTCTCAGTGCAGCTGCTGCTACCCAAGCATATCTGGGCTGACTTACTCATTGAATCTGTTGAAGATTCTGCTTATTTTCCTAAAAAGGTGTGATTATCACGTTGAGTTCTAGGGGGCTCTGCTAGTGGGTGGGGTTCCTGGGTCTAGCTCTAAGGCATAGCTTTGCTCCTGGCCCTGAGAGGTCAGTCTGTGATCACAGCGGCAGGCACCAGGGCTTACATTAACCACAGCTCTGAACTTCCAAGACTGCTGCTGGGGGTTGTAAGTGTTACACTAGGAGATCAGAAAGAGATTCCAGTCTAAGGCCATACCACCTTGAATACGTCCGATCTCATCTGATCTCAGAAGCTAAGCAGGGCCGGGGCTGGTTAGTACTTGGATGGGAGACAGAAAGAGATCCCACCACAACCATAAACACAAAGCTCTGGAGACCAAAGGGAGAGGTGATAAAGAGAGGTGAGAAGGGAGGATCTCATTTAAAGCAAACAAAGAGAAAATTGAAAAAGGGAGCCGCCAAATTAATTTCACTAAGAGAACAAACTGACTGTGGGCTGAGTATTCCTCATCTGAAAACCTAGACTCTTAAGTGCTTTGAAATCCACAGATGCCCTTTAGGTTTTGGGTTCAGTGAGTGAAGTCTATGCTAATTATTAGATATTCAGTGAGTGAAGACTATGTTAATTATTCCACAGTCCAAAATCTTGGGGCAAGGAAATGCTTCCGGTCCTAAGCCAGGGATAAGCATCCTGTCCTCCACAAACAGCCATTCTATTTGGACAGTGTCTATTTCTAGTAACTGGTCTGAGGTTATTCTAACAGTAGATGTGGCACTTTAAAGTCACACTCCACCAAGGTCATGTGAGATTAGACAGGGGTTGTTTATTTGAGTTTAACAAAGATCATAGCCATGAAAGGAGTAAGCACAGTCTTTTATATACTCAAATCTACTCTATGCAAGGCATTATGGGAACTGGGAAGAGAAGGCTCCCACCTTGGTGGAGTTTGAATGACGGTGGGGGAACAGAGCATATGCAAATGAACAAACTGACATACAGTTAGTTATGGAAAAATTTAAGATACACCATTTGAATGCAGAGTGGACCAGAGATTGTTATTTTAGTCAGAGAGGTGGCAGGTAAACAGATCAGAATGACAGAGACGAGTTAGTTCAATGATCACCAAGAACAGGCTCCTGGGAAAGAAAAGAAATTAACAATCTTAATGAAAACAGTGCTCGATGAGTTCAAAGTCCATGATAAAGACCAGTCTGTCTAGAGATTCAAGGAGAAAAGAAACAGCAAGAGGCCAACAGAGGCAGGCTGTACCAAAGAGTCTCACTTCTATGGTAGGCATGACTGATGATGACTGGAGGATGCTGAGCCTTGGATGGCGTGGTTTTGAATATCCTCAAAGGAATAGTGTGGCTCACAGGTAAACAGAAAAGGGACAATGACAAGTTCAGTGCCCATTTGGCAGGGATGGCAGCCAGCCGTGCAGGTGATGGAGGGTGATACTGGTCACAGCAGAGTTGTGCATCCAATATGACAGCCACTAGCTCCCTTTAGTTGCTTACCTTTAAATTAATTGGAAAAAAAATCAGTTCAAAAAAGAAATCCCAGAAGCTTGGGAGGAGGGAGAGGGGAGAATGAGATGTTGCTTGATGAGTATGGAGTTAGAAGTTTGAGGTGATGAAACAATTTTGTAAACAGCTAGAACAGCAAGTTCACGGTAACTAGTGTCTCTGATTTGCGTATGTAAAATGATTAAAACTGCAGAATTTATTTATGTCTATGTCTATGATCACAACATACAACTAGCAAAACAAGACCATAGGGCCAGAGCAATACAGCCTTTAGAATAAATGAAAGCACTACATCTTTCCAGCCCCAGATTTAAGAATGATCTCAAGAAAAGGCACCAAAAATATGGTGACAAACCTGGACCAATTAGACTGGACCAAAACTGGTCACTTTAACGCTTCAGATAACACCACCAAGAAAATTAGAAAAACAAAAGAATGGAGAAAACACTTGCACATTCTGTGTCTGATAAGAAGCTTGTGTCCAGGACATGGGAAGACTCCAACAACATAAAACTTCTCAATATGAACATGGGCAAAGGACCTGAATAGGTATACTTAGCAGAGAAGATATCCAAATGGCTAACAGGGATTCAGAGAAACTCTGAATTGGGAATGATTGGGAATAAAGCAAACAATCTCAAAGTCACCTGAATCACTTCATACCCACGAGGAGGCTACAACAAAAATGACAATCAAGAGTCAGAGAGCCAGAGAGCCGGATGGTAGTGGCACACAACTTTAATCTCAGCAGAGGCAGGCTCTGTGAGTTCGAGGCCAGCCTGGTCTACAGAGTGAGTTCCAGGACAGCCAGGGCTGTTACACAGAGAAATCCTGTCTTGCAAAACAAACAAACAAAAAAAGTCAATTAGAGTGTGGAGACCTGTAATGGTTCATACACGGCCGGAAGCTGAGTAAGCCGTGCAGACATTTGGGGAAACTATTGGCACTTCCTTAAAAAAGATTGTGCACATTTATTACCTGACCCAGTAATTCCCAAGAAAAATGAAAATGCGAAAGAAACACAAAAGCTTATACATGAATGTTCATAGCGGCATTATTCACAACTGCCCATGAAGCCTAAAACAATGAACAGCATTATTCCTTATCCACAGTAGCCTATTCATAATGCAGATGCCTGTCAACTTGTGAATGAACAAATAAATGCCCATCACTCAGTGAGTGGTGCATCAATACAATAGAGTATTATGGAGAAATAGCAAAGATGAAGTAGGGGTACATGCCACAGTACGGATGAACCTTGAAAAGTGAAAGACGTTAGGATCAAAAAGTCATACGCTGTATGCTTCTGTTTATATAAAATCCTGTTTATATAAAATGTCCAGAGTAGACAGGTCTACACAGACATGGTGCAAAAGAGCAGTTGCCAGGAGCTGAGGGTTTGGGGGCTGGGTGACAGCTTTTGGGGTGATGAAACATTTGAAAATTAATGATGATGATGTGCTGGTTGGGTTGTGTAATGGAATTAGACCCTGAGATGGGTGAATTGTACAGTGTAAATATAGAGATACAATTATATAAGGATGAAGCCTCTACAAAAACTTGGTTCCTTAGTTACGCTGGCCACATTTCAAAAGCTCAGTCAGGAGCCATGTGTGGCTAATGGCTACCATTCCGAGCAGCAGATACGTATACCATCTCCCCACTCCTGAAGTCTAACTGACAATACAGTACCAGAAAGGCCATGTCAGAGGTAGGAGAAGTGACAGAAATGGCTAAATATTTTGAGGCAGGAATGACAGCATTTGTTCACGATTAGAGGGTGGAGTAGGAGGGAATGTGAGGAACCTCAGCCTGAGCAGTGAGGTAAATGGATCGATGACTTTTGATGGAGACTAGCAGTCTGGTCTTTCCCATAGGAAGGCTGGCTGGAGGAGGAGCACAAGAGGACCCGCAGCAGTGCTTTAGGTTCACAACAGGAACTGCCGACGTGAAACATGACTGTATACAAGAGAAGGAATTAGCCTAGCAGGCACCTCCTGGTCATGAGAGTTAGGAGATGCTGGTACAACCTGGCTCTCTTACCCTAGTTCTACTGGCAGAGAGGTTTTTTTGCTTTGTTTTGTGTTTTTTTATTTTTATTTTTTAGATTTGAGAATAAGATGGGGGTTTCATATCAGGGACATGATTAAAGAAGATGATGCAGTGACAATGGCTGAAATGACCCCAAGTTTCCCTTTATGTTGGAGATCTATGATGCTCTAAGCTGTTAAATTAGCCCATGCATTTAGTGGCTGAGATGCCAGCCTCAGTTCTTCCTCCTCTGCTAGGTCCAGATGAATTTCCCAGTCTATCCATCCTGAGTATTCACAAGCACAGAGGGTTTTAACTGAGATGAGCAGTGATCTGGAGCCTTGATGTTCCGTCTACACTAAGTCCTGGGGGAACCTAGAAAAAACTCCGGCCAGATGGGAGAGTTAGGTGGAGAGGAGGACTAAGCCAAAAACCAAAGCCTGCAGTCATGGTCTCACAGCTTTTGTTGTTGTTTGTGTGTGTTGGGACAATCCCCAAATGCTGGCGTAACTGACATACACTACCACATCTGGCCTGACATTTTTTTGTTTGTTTCTTTTATCTATGGTGCTGGTGACAGAACTCAGGGCCTTACACATACTAGACAAGTGCTCCCCACTG